AATGCTAATGGAATAATCCTACACTAATGCCCAATTCCTGTCTTTATACAAATATTATAAATTGGCCAATAAAGGTCAAACACAAACATTCAACTCACCCCACGTGTCTTACCACTCAGCTGTACAGTAACTATGAACAACAACTCATCACAGTTATCCTCAGGGTCCCTCTTGAGCTCCGTTAAGTCAGGATCAGAGGGTCAACACCACAATATATTGACCATAAAAACATGTAAGTCCTGTGACCCGACAATTGAAGACCAATATTTATTATGGTGTTAGAGGACGAGGAGGAGGAACACTGTGGTAATGTAGTAATTGTGTGAGAAAACTTCCTCCATTCATTCCTGCTTGTAACGTCCACAGACAAATATTTCACTTATTCATTTAGTTTAATTAGAATGCTTACATAAACGCGTTTCTATGATCATCTCAAACCAGTGCCAAAAATTCTTCTTAAAAGTTACTGTTTCTGCCCTATTAGGTGTTTTTTGTTTGTTATATCAATGATTCTTATTGGCAAAATATAGCTACAAAGTAGGGACAGGTAAGGTTCACTCTCGGCTGTGCTAATATATATATATATGATTTATTGCAGGAAAAATGCTGTGGGTGTGTTTCTGTACAAATATTTTTACTCATCATTGAACAATAATTTGGTGAGAAATATCGTTCTCAGGATATTCTGGGAACAAGTTATATTGTCAATATTATAAAAGTGATTTGTGTAAGTGAATCGTAAAAAAATACAAGTAAAAAGGAAAGGACAAAACCTAGCATAATATTCTATATAACACTGTAACACGACAAGATCCAATCGCTATCGTGATCATTTACTGAAAGTTACTTTAATACGTTTAAGTACACCTGATTACTATAAATGCCGCTATTTTCTGAAAAGTTGTTGTACACTTTTATCTACACAATTCTGAACACTTAAACTAATGTGAAATTAATCGTTCCTGCATATATATACTGTTCATAACTCAATCATTTAGTTCACTTTCACAAAACTGTCCAGTAATATTACCAACAACAGATAATTTTGCATTTAATTCAATATTGACAGTGCTCATCCTTAATTAACAAATGTGAAACACAACTACATTATTACATTGTATTTATATCAAAGGTTATCATGGAGGCGAAGTTTGTCATATATACCGCAGAGCAAACTTTTAATCAAGCAAGAGCAACACCGTAGAAGGGCCTAAACCAAGACACAGCTACACCACCGAGTTTGTTATGGTGAAAAATATACTTGCCTCTCAAGCCAAAAATCAACTAACTCTTCCTCTATTATTCACTCCGCTGACGTGAGAGATCCATTAAGGATCTTGGAGCTTCTGTTATGCCTTTGTACCTAAGGCATTTTTCCTCCAGGTCTTTAGGGGCCTCTTCAGAAAGTAGCACGTCCTCATTTACAACACGCTGTCTAGCTTTGGGTCCATTGGGTCTCCTACCTCACACGTCTCTTTCGGATATTATTTTTGTGTATTTGTAGTAGTTGGCACAGAGGAATGCATAATATGACATTCAAACACTTTGTAATGAAATACAATGTTATCTTCACCTTCATAATCTTCACTAACGTCTGTCTGCAACAGCTTGAAACAATATTACCTCAGGAAATATTCGGAGAGAATCCCATCGTGCAACTTGGTAAGAGTGTGGATGATCCTGGTGCTACGGTGGTTGATGACAAGAATCTCCTCCTTTGAAGTCAGTGAGAAGTTTTGTCATTAGTCCACAGTGTCGGCGAACTCCTAGAAAAACAAAAACAAAAAAGGACTTATATGTAAAAAGTATTCTTAATTACACACGAGGGAGTTGACATCATGAATCCTTGCTTAGGGGGCGAGACAGCTGAGTGAACCTGACCCAACGGTAGTAGGTTCGACTCGTGCGACCGGCCATTGAGTGAGGCACCCCCAATCGACCCAACTGTAAAAGGGATTCTTAACTCACCCCATAATACCTCCTTCCTTATCTTCTTTTTCCCCCATTTATATCTATCAGTATTGCTCTCTCATTATATTTCCCTCTGCTTTTTCCTCCTCCTCCTCCTCCTCCTACTCTTCCTCTTTCCATCCATTTCGTCTTTCTCCAAACTTCCTAAATCACAAACCTCATCTCTCCCTTCTTCCTCATTCTCACTCTCTCATTCTCAAATGCATTCCCTCTTCCACCTCACTCCCTGACTGACGCTCCCTCCAAAATTTCTTTCTTTTACTCCTCCCCCCTTTTCCATTTCACTCCCCTTTCCACGTCACGCTTTATCTCTCCCCTTTCCTTCCTATCATCTACTCGTTCCATATCTCATTTTTTTCTACCCTTTTGTATATAAATTCCCCTTCTCTGTCTCCCTACCTCCCTCTCAATTTCTCACTACCTGATGTCTCTCCAGTGCATACTAACTCCCGTCTTCCCTCACCCTCATTCATTATCATCATTTCACCCCACAATCATTATCCACTTCCGCAGCAGCAGCAGCAGCATCTTGAATCTCCCTGTTCACATCACATGCTACCCATCCTTCACACTCGTTACATAGTCTTGTGAATTCCTAAACTCATCTTTCCTTTTCACTCACCTTCGTCCCATCTTACGAGGGTTTGATAGATTATAGACTTGTAAGTAGTGGAGAATCACATGGATATTACTAACAATATAACACTAGTGGGACAATACCAGTTATATATCTAGCCAGAATTATTGAAGTCTTACATGGTCAGTGACGTGTAGCGTTTTTGTTTTCTTCTTCAGTTTGTTACAGTTTGACATTGTTTGTGTACTATTTCTTTTGTATCATTATGAATAAAGGAAGAGATATTTGTTTGGCTTCCCCTCAACGCCAATTAAAAGTTACTACCATGTATAGTGAACCAGAGAGATATATTGAAACGCTCCCCAGAGTAATAAATAACTGACTTGTTTTTCAGGTTGAACTGGAAGCTGTTGTAGATGGATTTCTTTTTATAAGTTTGTAATATTACGATCTAAACTGGACATGAGTTATAATTATACCTATCTGTGGTTCCAGTTTATTCAAAATCTATGTCTGTGCTGTGGATGCTTGTATAATTCATTCTACTCTTCACCCAAATGCTGTCTATGCCTTACAACCCAACTTTTTTTCATGACTATGTCAGTTTGGATGGGTCACTAGTCTCCGTTATTGTTATATATATATCTCGCTATATCTTATATTGGTTTGTATAGCTAACTTTTAACTATTCTTGGTTTATTTTCGTATACTACAAAATGTTGAGTTTTTGTAAATCAAAGTCCACATATTTAGTAATTTGATATAAAAGATCTGATATAGAATTTTGGTACAATTCATATTCCCTATTTGTTATTATTATTTCAGGTTCGTTTTAGAATTCAGTAAGTTTTCTTCAATTCCCCAAAAGAATTGAAGATACTGTGACTTTACTAGACAGGGGACCGTCTTAACTTCCTCAAGTAAATTTTATGTGCTACTATTTCTTACTGAAGATAAAAAAGTAAGAAATTAAAAGTTAAATTTTCATGAGGACAAACGTTTACACATAGGACGAACAATTTCTGTCTTGGAACTGAAGGAGCCTGAAGAAACACAGTGACTCAAGTGGGTCTCTCAGAGGAGAAAAAATATCATATGATGAAGGGAAAAACTTGTAGTCTGCAGTTTCATTTAAAAACCCAGAGGCTAAAAGAGAGGCTCTTGTGGCAGGGTAGTGGATACGACCAGAGAGTGAGTGTTGTAGAGCTGCGGGTCCTGCAGCGTTCTTACATTAGCGTCGCCTGGAGTACCTCATTTATATGTGAGAGGAAAGTAGGAATTTCCAGTAACAATCTGCATTCATAATGAACTGATATAAATGTTACATGTGGTGTCAGGTCATGAACCTTTAACGTGTTAACTCACTGTAAATTTGATGCATAAATGTTACATGTGGTGTCAGGTCATGAACCTTTAACGTGTTAACTCACTGTAAATTTCCGGAGCATTAAATTGCACGTCCTTAGTGACTGCTATCTATCATATATATATATATATATATATATATATATATATATATATATGTTAGCGTGTGTGAAAATTGCAAGTTAGAATTCGCCCGCCTGGGGGGACTAGTGGACCAAAATATCCTGGTGGATGACTTTTTGCACTTAGGAAGTGGAGAAACTTGTGTTCTCTAGGAAAACAGAAAATTCACTTTAATAAAACTTTTGACTGTCACTTTCATAAATAATGTATCTAAGCTAAAGCGAAAAAATCTAACTCGTTAAGTGTAACTAAAAATATGTAATTTTGGTTATTTTCTAACATTATGTTACATATTCTGTAACACTTAATGATAAATACGTATCTTGTGTGGTGCCCTACCTCTAGTGGACATGATTTATACACACACACACACACACACACACACACACAAACATATAGATGTGTGTGTGTGTGTGTATGTGTATGTGTATGTGTGTGTGTGTGTGTATATGTGTGTGTGTGTGTGTGTGTGTATGTGTGTGTGTGTGTGTGTGTGTGTGTGTGTGTTACGTTAAACAGGGTTAATCGGGGATTAAGTAAGCTTTAAAAAACAACTGACGTTTTTGCTAAGTATAAATAATTCTTTAACGCTACAACTTAATGGAAATGAAATCTTGTCTGGTAAAATTTGTTCTTTATTTAAGGCGTCCATTTCACGCTCATGGGATTAGATAATTTTGCTTTATCAACGTTTTTATTCACAACAAAATCTAATTATAGGAAAAAAAAAACTACACCTACAATTCTTTTTATCGAGTAAAAATCTTTCACTCCTCGATGAGAACTTCAATTATTTGCAAGTGAATTAATTTCTAGTTAATTAATGACTGTAGTTTTCTAGCTTCTTCCTAATTATTGGTTCATTGTAGTGATTGTTTTTCACATTATTCAGTTAATTACTACATTTCGTTACACTTTATGTATGAATTCACCCACTAACAAACATCATATTTCTCAATTCCAGGTTGGTGACGGCAGTAAACATCACACTTACCAATACTTCAATAAATAATATGAACTCCAAATACGACGATAAAGTTTCTCCGAGTTAAATAAACGTTAAAGATATTCAGTTCTCTAAATATTTTGTCTAATATAAAAAAAAAACTACTGCTAGTAAGCGGAAGATATACAGACATATGTGAGCGGTGGCCGGAACTGGTGACGTCATCAAGATATCATGATCAGTGTGAAGCAGGTGCGGGATGAGTGACTGAGAGCAGGATGATAAAACTGATGACTGCTTCCCGCTACTACTGCTGCTCCTGCTGCCCGCTCCTTTGGCTTCTCTTCTGCTGCTGTCTAGGTAAATGTTTGTTTTTTTCTCTTTCATTATTCACACGTACGTTCAGGCGTCGGGTAAACTTGGGTACTACACTATGTTCTAATTAAAAATAGACAACAAACCAATCAATAATGAACAGATGAGCTTTGTGGTTAAGCCATTGCGTGGCTTACAACGGTAACTCTCACTAAATCTGCCGCGCTGTATAGAAAACTCCTGAGTCCAAAATGTTTTCCTCGGTAAAAAAAAAATGAAAATATGATACTTTTTCTTTGGGCCAATTACTGCAGCTGAAAGCTGGATACTGATCCACATTGCATAGCTGATTGACTCAGGCCTCTGCCAGTGAATTGGAACCTAGATGGTGTAAGTGAAACTGGGAAGATTGAAATACGAAGTGTAGGAAACATTTTCGATGACGTGATGGTAGATATACGGAAGAAATCAAAACAAGAATTGGACCAACAAACAGCATTTAATAATCTAAAAGACCTAATGAAAAGGGATTTTAACTTCAATTTGAGAAAAAGGCTGCTGAAAATCTCTATTAGGAGAATTTCAGCAGACACCAGAAAGAAGTTTGTACGTAGAAACAGATTTTGTCGCATACGCTGAGACAACAAAGTTCACATGAGTAATTATAACCGACATGATATACTCTGTTGTATATCCGTCCAAACACACACACACACACACACACACTACTATTACTACTACTACTACTACTTTGCTGTCACTCGGAATCGAGCACGACGATCATCCAGCTATGATACAATGATATGAGTTATTAGGGATGTCTCCTAGGTTGGTGAGTTTTGAGGTAACTAAAGAGACCGATACGGGACCCGCAGCGTCGTTCACATTCGTTGCACGTGTGGAGGGCTCCATCTACTCTGCCCCCGTTCTGTGAGTTGGCCCTCATCTAGGAGCCGGGAGTCACTGATGACTGCTATGTCGATGTTATGCCTAGCCAGCTCTTTTGCCACAAGAGCAGTTCTTCTTTTTGGATGCGCATTTGTGACTATATCCAGAAGGGTCCTGACATTCCATGCAGCGACCATAAGTGGTATTATGGTTTGTTTTTGCTTGGATCTGTGATTTTGGTTGTGTTTTCGACCGCATAAGGATGACCTTACTGGGTGCGGTTGCCGAGTCAGGTTGGGTTTCAGGCAGGCGATGTTTAGGGCACCTTTTCTAGCCCCCTCCCCATGTGGGGTGAGCAGAGTGGCTCCCCGAAAGCGCTGCTCAGTCGCACAGACAGGACCGGATTGCACTGCTGCCTAGATCCCAGTGAATAAACGAACATCTTATCTGTGCCGCCCATGTGCAGAGTTGTGGGATAGAGATTCCCGTCGCCACTCGCCTTTCACCAAAGGACTTTTGGGGTGTATGGGGGAGGGGGGTAATGATGATGAGAGGTATGATGTGTTATGTGATGGCTGCGAGTAAGTTGATTTATGTGGTGAGGCAGGAGAACAGGCTGCAACCATACATCTTGGCTCTCCCTTTTCCTGATCCAGTGGTGCAAGTGTTGCAACGACTGGGGAGAGGGATAGTCGCAATGGACTGCTGATAGCCCAGTTTGTTGGGTTTCGCCTTAGTAGCCTGTCCATCAGGCATTGCCTTCGTCCGCCGGTGTAGTCGTTGGGTTTCCATGGTGGTCACCTCTTCCGCCTATACCGCCGTTGGGGGTCTTGTTGGAGCTCTGTAAGCATGCCTGCCTGATGCGGGGCCCCATCACAGATTTTTCGTTTGGAGTTTAACCTGACAAGGTTAATCCACAAGGCAGCGAGGCGCTGGTTGGTAGGCGTCAGGATGTATCCACATGCCAGTGGGCCTATGCGCCATCCCTCTGGGGCCCACTGCTACTCCGAGATCCCGTGCTGATCTAGCCTGGGCCCACTAGGAGGCACAGCAGGAGTCTTGATGGTAAGGAGGCTGTGTACTGGCAGGGGAAGACTTATGCAAGTTGCTTCCCTGTTCGCCACGAGGGCTAGCCAGCGGCGGCAGCTAAAAGCGAGAGGGAGCAAGCAGTGCTTGCACCTTAACACAAACATAATGTTGCCACTCTAGACGCATTTCACCACCCTCTTTGTGGCTGTACGCACACACACACACACACACACATACACATAAACATACATGTAGGCACACGCACATACACCAAAAACTATTGAGAAGCGCGCCATCTGCTGATAAACAGAACAACTTGTTTATGAATGTTTAGACGCAACAGTTCACAGTTTCAATGTTTCATATCCTACAAATCAGAGTTTGCGAACCTTTGGCAACGACTATACATATATAATCATCTTTAAGAGTACAGAAGATCACATCATTGCTATTGATCTACTCTATACATGTGTAGAAAAACATTAAACAAAAAAATAATGATATTTTCACAAAGACATTGATTAAGTATAGAAGTGCTCTTGAAAACAGTCGATCCTTTTAACCGTACGTGTAACTTTCTCCTAACAAAAAGATATCATTCTCCTGTGGATCATTGCCGAGAAGAGAACGTGCAAATACCAGACAACAGATAACATCCTCTACACGTACTGATTTTAATTAACGCATCAGGGGCCCCACAATACATACACCTTGAAGCAGATTAATTAACATCACACCAAACGCCCAGATGACCAAAATCATTCATGTGATCGTAAATCCAAAATTTTTAAGTCTCTTCTGACACAAGAAATTTATAAATGGGTCTTGGGAAGATATATTATGTCTTAACAGTTTCTCAAGAGTATTTTACAGGAATTTCCCCATTCAATGATTTTATAGTTGCACATTAAGGAAAAAAATATATTGAGGTGAATACAAAATTAGTCAAGACATATGCATTTAGAATACTTCAGACATGTTTATTAAGACTAAATGGTAGATTATATTCTGCAGTAGACCTCTTACAGACCTCATATTTTATTCCTTTTACTCTAAGTTGCAAGAACTACACAAGGAAACAGCAGAATTTACCAGTTGTTCATAAGGCGTATCTGTGGGTTAACTCTCACTGGGGGCATCACCCTCTTGGATCACAGTAATGACCCTCACTAGCGCATCTTCTCCTGGCATGAGTCTTCACGTTCGCTGAGCAAGATTTTTCATTTTTCCTCCACTTTATAAAAGCTTCCCTGAGCCAGCCAGTAACTTCATGAACTTCGTCATCAAGGAAGTCTTTGGGGTGAGAAAATGGTTTACTTCCCCTCAAGCTAAAGTAATGTAAAAATATTATATACTATACTATACACGGTAAAACATTGCCTAGTCTCCAACACACGGTAAAGTATAGGCTACATTTATAGCCACACTTGAGAAAAAACATCCCTCACTAGTGAACAAAATCCATCAGTCAATAGATAAAGGGTAAGACAGCCTGGAGATTTGTCATTATTTTTAAAACATTTGTTCTTTCTTATGAGACATTAAATCCTCTTTTGACTCTTAAATGTTACACCACACTGCTGCATCTGCCCAGTTATTATCAGAGTTACATAAACTATCAAAGACTTTATTGATAACATCCATATCCGTAAACGTTATCAAATCGCATATTGGACAGGAGGAGGAAGGGAGGAATAAATAAGAGGAGGAGAGGGGAGATAAGAAGAACGAAGGGTAGGCAAGACGAGGGAGAGAAAGGAGGGGGGTGGATGGAGGAAAGGAGAGAGAGTGAGGGAGGGTTAAGAGTGGTTGGTGAGGGAATTAGAGACAAGGATAAAGGAGAAGTGAAGACGAAGGAAAGGGAAAGTGAAAGAAGGAGAACAAGGATGAAGGAAACAGAAGAAGTGAGAAGGGAGGGATGAATCAAGGGAAATAAAAGAAGGTGAGAAAAGGGAACAGAGGAAACATGAAAGAAAGAATGGTGGAAACAATGAAAAGAAGATGAAAAAAAGAGAGGAAAGATGGGGTGAGGAAAGTAGTGGAGCATTAGATGGGAGACCAATGAAGGATAGAGAGGAAGGGAGGAGGGAAGGGAGAAACGAAAGGGAGATTACAGAAAGAGCAGAGAGTGTATTAAGGACAACGTAAGGGAATAAGGGAGACAGAGGAATATTTAGGGACGCCCGAGTACGAAAAGAAATAAGGGACGAGGAAGAGTGAGAGTGAAAAGAGGCATAAAAGACGAGGAGAAATGAGAGATGAGGACTTGTGGAGAAGGAGGGGGAGAAGAAGGAGGAGGAGGAGGAGGAGGAAGAAGAAGAGGAGGAGGAGGAATAAAGAAGAGGATAGAGGCAAGAGAAGATGAGAGAGGCGCTTCAGGAAGAAGAAAAATCATTTAAGGTCGCCTCCGTCTCATCTGTTCCAAGCGTGAGTTTAAGGAGAGTCAACAGAAGTGAATAATTATGAAATTATTAATGAATATCGCATTGTAAAGATCATGAATACGACGGTAATGAAAAAAATATATAGTTTCATAAAAAAAATAAATAATAAATATCCAACGAGTCAAAAGACCGTCCAGGACAAAGAGAAAAAACACATAGACAAAATGGTGAAATATGACGGGGAAATGAACCACTAAAATGAAGGTAAATAAGGAAAAGAATTCTTAGGCAAGGGAAAGGATAGGATGAAGGGAGAGAGGAAGGGAGGGAAGAGGGAGAGGAACTAATGAACTGGAGAGAGAGAAGAAAGGCTGACGATGAAGGGGGAGAGACTATAAGGATGTGAGGAAAATGATAATGGAAGCAGACCTGACTTGCTTTAGAACAGAGGATGGGTGGGGAAGCGAATGTACATAATGGTTATTAATATGAGAAGAAACACACAATAGCAATTTACTTTGATCCTTATAGTAACACCTCTTATATGTGTCACTCTTATTTCCCATAAAGGCCAACTCAAAATCTTTTACAAGTAGCTTTTTTTTTTCTCTCTCGCAGTTGTGAGTCTTAATTATGAGTAACATTGCCGTCTCTTCCTCACAAGTGGCACTTTCAACTCTCTTAAGTGACACTCACACATTTCATAATCTCTCCTCTTAACTCTCGCCTCGTATAGTGTTCCCATAAACTGCCGGGTATAAATCACTGATGGAGAATCATTGTGTTCTGTAATTTGACAAGAGTTGTAAGTATTCAAGTGAGTTGTGCCAGTTGGAAGACATGTTTCTAGGTCATATTACTCGCTGCGACAAGATATTTTTTTTTTATTTATCCTTAGAAATACTGTAATAAAAAAATAATTAAAAAGGTTAATAGAAAAATTATCACATCTAAGAGCATTTCGTCAAGGTAGTGGACGTTTCCTCCAAATGGCAATGTAATCAGTGTGTCGATGATGGTGTGCTGTCCGTTGTATTGTGTTGGAGGAGGAGAGGTGACAAAATATGTAAGGGAAAAACAGAGAGAGAGAGAGAGAGAGAGAGAGAGAGAGAGAAATGAGTAAGCAATATCATAACACAAGCAGCAGATATATCGATCATCTCGGTCCATCCGGAAAAAAACAACACTGTGAAGGTGACAAGAAAAAGGAATAGGTCATTTTCTTCACAAATACACCGGGTCTCTCTGAGCAAGGTCCTATTACACGGAAGGGCAAGGAATTGTTTTTCTAGGTTAAACTTTCTTTGTTTAACAAATTTTCCAGTCAAAATGTTAAATCAGTACAATATTTCCTTCAGGAGTTTCTCTTACGTTGCTCATTTAGTTATGATACAGTTCTGTGTGTAGCAAGGAGGACTGCTTGACTTTAATAAGGTGAAGAAGAAATTGGAAATACAAGTAGTAAGACAACTTTCACATTGACTCTAAAATTATACTATAGCCATCGAGGACAGCTGATACCGAAATCACAAAGTTCCTGTCAAATGCATAATACATTGAAAAAAAAAATGTGTGTGTGTTTGTGTGTAACTCCTTATTTATGGAATGCAAATATAACACAGATACGTAGATATATCCAGTAATGTTTCCAAATAAAGCTACAGATATCCAATAGATGATTATATTTGATAATAGTAAATAACAGCAATGAGGTGGTGTCTTATGTAAAACACTGAGTCTATTACCATGCAACATCCAGGTGGTATCAACGCCGTACCACAGGACTAAGGATGAGCCCAATCCATAATGCATCCTTATTTAATACCCTGTAATACCGGAGGTCATCAAAGAGATCGTCGTCTTTAAACTCAACACTGCCAACACCGACGCAGTAAATCACTGTAAGAGTCCCGGAGTGCGAGATCTTCCTCCCTCGGGATCATTACCAACACAACATCATTATCCTTTGAGCGCCGCACCCTACTTCAGTAATACATTACCGCGTCTTCACTCTTCCCTGAGTCATCAGCTGTGCTTTGTTCCAGGTGTACCTAGATAAAGTGTTTCGAGGAGTAAATTGTTCATGGGTATACTTCCGAGACGGATAGGTTGACTTCTGCCATTCATAATCTAGTCTCATGGCGCTGGTTTATTTAATTTATTTTTTCTCTCTCAACCCATATTGGAGCGTGGGAGGAGTGTGGGAGTTGGAGCATGGCTGAACCCGGTCTAGGAATCTGGGTGGGGTACAAAGGCCGTCTCACACCGAAAGCTGGGCTAGCACGCTAAGCACGTGTGCTACGTCATGCGCCAGTGTAAGCTACCTAATTTAAAACCAATGCAAAAATTCAAAGACGCGGCTTAAGAGTTTGGAGTGTGACTGGTTCTCCGTCTTGGGGCGTGGGAGAATATTGACGGCTGTAGTGTGCCTACTCCATCGTCTTGGGCCATAAAAGTGGTCCTTAGTACAAAGTTTATTGGATATTCTGTTCTTACTGGTGATTATTGAAAACTGGATGTGTATGATAATGAGGGTCGTTTGGAAGTTGTGTTTTGTGTTGGTATGTAATAATTTAAGACTACGAGGAATATAGCAATCTAAACGTTATATAAATAACTATTTTGACAGTGGACCAAATTTGGTTTTCCTATTGTCTGGTCTTACTCCAAAATGTCCTCTGTTGTCACCAATTTTCACGTCATATAATGGCCGAAGTGGCCCTCGTCCTCATCTGCGTTAAACGTAAACACCATCTCCAGTTTCCCTCCTGATGACGTCGTTTCATCCCAACATATTGGTAAATTCCTTCCCGTTGCCATTAACCTCTACCGCCACCCTGATGATATTTGTCTTACCGAGATCCCAAGCTTGATATGTCTCATTGTGCCTTTTATTCTTCGTCTTGTGTTTCACTTATCTCGTCTATCCCTTTGTCGAGAGTATTCCTCATTCTCTTTTTTTTTTTTTGTCGTGTACATCCTTTTTCTCTCTGATCCCTTTCTAGTTGTCGCATGTCCACTTCATTCCTTTGTCGTGTGTCCCCTCCACCTCATCATATTAGCTTCTGGTCTGTTCACCTCTGTTGATTCAGTAATGATCCTAATTGGATTGTAACATTGTTCTGTCTTCATGACCAACATCTCAGAGCTTTCATGTGTTTTATATCACAATTAGTTGACCAGGTGCACTATTATTGCTGTGTCCTGTGAACATTACACATACTTCAATCCCACAGGGAAAAAAATAATCTTACAACGTTCATGAATTGTGGCCTCGGTTCACAAGTGACTTCTCTTGAATAGATTTCAAGCCCATTATATTTCTGTTATATTTTGCCAGCGCTGTTCGTGTACAATTGCAAGATTATAACAATTATATATATATATATATATATATATATATATATATATATATATATATATATATATATATATATATATATATATATATATATATATATTTATATATATATATATGTCGTTATATCGGAGAGAAAGAGAGAGTGAGAGAGAGTGTGTGTGTGTGTGTGTGTGTGTGTGTTGCCTTGATTTTTTATGATAGGACTATATTCTGCAACGCCTCCACTTCATCAGCGAGTAGTACTGATTAATTTGCCACAATGGGGGGATGTCAGATGGGTACCGGCTCTCAGTTTCCAGGGACGAGTCCTCAGGCAAACCTGACAACCCCACGCGACGCCACCTTAACTCACACTTAGTATACAAAAGCGTCGTTATTCTGCATCTTGTTTCGTTACTTTTTACATTGATTACTTTATTCACCGTTGCTAACACTTTATTCACCGCTGCTATTACTGTATTCACTGTTGCTATTAAATGTGCAATTTGAGGGAAGTGAAAAGTTTCAAATAGGTAATATTAGATATACAAAATACGGAAGGTAGAACATCTTCCATGAAATGTGTCTCACTATAAACCGTAGAGAGCGAGGGACAATACAAGAGGACAAAATCTGTTCCAGTAATACCATTGTCAGCAGCGGAGAACAACTTTTACACGAAACAAAAATATATCTTCTAGGTTCCACATGGCTTTTCATCTGAAATACAAAGGGCTCATGGAAAAGAAAACAGCAGATCCAATATTCAGTCTTGAACTTTTGGGGAAAGTTGCTGCATTAATGCGTCCTTCTGAACAAAGTTGAATTGGACAGACGTTATAAAGTGTGTTCGTGAAAGATTTTGACGTTAGCTTAGGTTAGATTAGGTTGGGTTATTGATACAATGTGATTAATGAAGTTTTTTTTTTGTGCAACCCAATTACTCCATCGTTATAACACGTAAGACCATGACATCTATGACAAAAAGCTCAACGCACAAAATTAACTCTCAGTTCTCTACTTCCTTAAGGACAGAAATCTGTTCACTTATGATAACGGCAAAAAATGACTGTACTTCTCGTGGAGCAACAACAGGGAAAGCGGCGCATGAGGACAAAACTATACATGTAAGCACTTAGATCATGATGGCCCATGATAGTGCAAGACTTTCAGAGGTATAGGCAAAAAAAAAAAAATAGGGAGTTAACGTTATAATTCAAGTTGGCTCCCTGATGTTACTAAGACAGAGCTGATCTAACAACTGTAATATCGGAGACTGAATATTGATGAAGACGTATGACGACTCTCATCCCCATCTGCACTGTTTGTCTCCTACGCCCGAGTGTGACAAGCAAACAACACTGTGTGGACTGAGGCAATCTCTGCTCTTGTCCTTGACACTCAACATTAACCTCGGATAATGTTGAATATATTCTAAGCGGCCCCCTGTTACTAACTTATTAGGGTGTGAATTTAGCTGTAAACTGAATATATTATTAGAGGAACACCCTGGATGGCCACGAAGTAAATTAAACTTAGAGAAAATTTCAGTTTATTGAACAAATTATAACCTTTGTTAATATCTCAGGACCCAGAACTTAGTACAGTTGAGTGAGTATATCTAGCTTCATTGTGACATTGATACTGCACATTTCTTGATTATTAAAACAACAACGGAATATTATTTATCAGCCTGTAAGGTGATCTGGTAATGCTGGAGGTCCGTATCATCAACTCTAACAATGCGGATGTCGTGGGTTCGTTCCCTATATGGGCCCTATATGAACCAACCACCGTGGCTCAGTGGCTAAGAGTCTGGCCTTCCATTCCAACATAGACTTACAAAGGTTTGGTTGGACAAAGACTGCATAGTTGTGATTATTAGTCTCTGTTAATTATATCCGGTACAACTATAACCAGTTTAGTAGAATTGGTTCCAATGTAGTTCAAAGGTAATAAATATTATACAGAATTCTACGATGTTAACACAGGCCGCCTCCTCCTCTTTTGAATTCAATGGTCATGTTAATATCCACGAGTCACTGTTCGTCTCTAAGTAATTGTATTTGGACTACCCCTGTGCCGCACTATAACTTGGTGGCCGAACTTCTTACCCTTTAGTCAAATAGTTGATAAGTTAAGATTAACTAATCTTTAACACTAGAAGCTAAGACTGCATATAAATTCTTTATTTTAGCTTCTAGAATAATTAAATATAAGTTCTGAAACGTCTATGGTCCGGAGTCGATGGAAATGCACTAAACTAACACGGAGGAAGGACTTGAAGCAAAGAATGGTACAACTATAATGTTCTCACCTGTGTTTTGCAGGTACAGGTGCGGACGGTAGGTGGAGAGGTCCTCAGCCGGAGTTCGGAGAGGCAGAGAACACGGTGAAGGTCCAGGAGGGTCAGACTGCCCGGCTGCCTTGTGTTGTGTTACATCTTAACGACAGGGCGGTGAGTGTTGTATTAAGTGCTATGTAACCCACAAATAACATAGTAGTGAATGCTGTCAAAATTCACTCCGAAAGGACGGTGATTGTTTTAGGTTCTGTGTATTTTGTGTCGTGTTTTCAGTTCTCCCTTTGTAAATTGTGCTGTAGTTAAAATGGTGTTTATTTATGCTACGTATAGTTCTGTGTTGTGGTGTATGTTGTTTTATCTATCCCCTTCCATTATTTTCTTACTTTCCCATATAATCTACAGAGCAGCTTGCCGATTGTTTTTTTTATTACGTGTTGCTGAGTGTTACATATACTGCTTTTTGTAGAAAATGAAGAACAGCAACGAGGAATAGGAGTAACTGACATTCGCAAGGGAAGCAGGGTACAGGAAAACAGGAAAAAACAAGAGAAACAAGGGAATGTGAAGAAACAAGAGAACAGGAGACAGCTTCCTCCCTTCCCTGGGACCCGGCATTAGCAGCACGTCTCACGCTTAAAGTTGCACGGGTCAGCATGCAGCCTTACGTCTCCCTATCTAATGACCTCCAGCTATGGCACATGTCTAACAGAGTGTGACGCTACTGCTTGGTGCGTGTGTGTGTGTGTGTGTGTGTGTGCGTGTGTGTGTGTGAAATAAGCACCCCACAAACACCTCGGGTACAACTGCATTATGTTCACATTTTGATTGTTTAGTGTTCAGTCTTTTGGTTTACTGTATATTGTGTTCTGTTTTGCGTTGCCTGTCGTGTACTGACTTGTCCTGTGGGTCTTGTATTATGCAAGATCCTGTTGTCTCGCTTTCTCTGTTGTATTCTGTGTACTGAATAGAGTTCTTTAGTCTGAGATGCATCCTCTGTTTCATGCTCTAGTTAACCTCAATGCCAATCGTTGTACTAGAAGAGGGAGAGAGAGAAAACAAGACAGGGAATCCTCATGAAGATTTCATTAATAGAACTGTGTGATAGCTTGCTTAACGCTCTCGAGGCAGACTTACCACCCCATAAAAATTGGAGTAATTCTCACTTGTCACCTCAAGGAGTACGGACATAATCCCTGTTACTCCTCCAGCTAAATCCCTCCTCACTGTGTAACAATGAGAGGTCAACTGATTTACTTTCTTTTTAATATTTATTATCTAACCGCCTACATTTCTATAACTACGCTGGACATTTTGGTAATGTTAAATAGTAAAACATGCATGGAATTTAATTTAAAATTCAGCTGGACAAGAGATTAATATATTATTAAAGAACGACATGCGCTTTAGAGAGATGTAATATTATTTATTATATCAACCTTCTATGAATTTAATTTTATTGTCAAAGTCGTGTCTAAAGAGCGAACAGTTTCCATGAGCCTTGTAAAAGAGAATAGAGGTCAGGTAGAAATTTATGGCATATTCATGTTAAAAAGAAATAAATCCAAAATATATAAAAGCCTCCATTTTGATACTCACTTGGAAATTTGTGTTCATACATTACAACATTTCTATTTCCATCAAGTATAATCATTATTTCACTGATTCGCCTGGTAGAATGTCACGCACACACACACACACACACACACACACACACAAGCACAGCGGTATATAAGAGTGTAACGAGCAAGTCAACAATTTGTATAATACCTTGAGTGCCACATGACCTAACAAATTGAACAACTGTGTATAGAGCAGCACAAGGGACGGGTGAAGGGGATGAAAATGATATATTTTATTCAAGTTTACCTTCTTTCAGAGTCTATTCAAAAGTTACATACCATCAGCAACCCAGTCCGTGTATATGTAGTGTTGCCTTGTTCTCAGAGACGTAAAAAAAGTCACTAATTGAATGTTTACTTGTTAAGTTCAGGTGACTTAAGATACCGAGATGTTAAGATTATGTTTGTAAGTTGTTCCATAGAGAGAAATCTGATAAAAAGAAGAAGAAGAAGAAGAAGAAGAAGACATCATAAAGAGACTGAACAACGCAGACGAGATAAGTCGAAGGAAAAACTCGACTAACCAACCGCTCTCCAATTTCCAAACAGTCATAGAAAACCCTAATCGGACTATTTCACATTTTGTGCGCTCTTTTGAGATACTTGGAACAAATGGCAAACCATTCAGACTTTTTCCTCGAGCATTCCATCTGATACTGTTTCAGCCGAACTATTGAAGCCCATGATGACTCTTCAATGAACGAATACTGCCGTGTTGTTCCCGTTTCTTCATCTCCACAAATAGTAAAAAAATGCACAGTGCCAGTGGCCAGACTATCAGGAGTATTGGAGCCACAAGAAGCTATGGATATGAGCCAAGGGAGAACTACAACCCTATCATCCCCATGGTGAGACAGACGCGAGACAATCAGCTTAAAAGGTAATGGAACGAACACTGCAAACACAAAACACAGGACATTCTCGAACCAACACCAACCAACACAGTAACGGTGAGATACACTGCAACCATTTATGGCTTCTGAAAACATTTCATTGAGTGTAATGGATAGGGAGATGTACAATGCTGTCAGCTAGAGTCTTCAGGTGTAGTGAATGAAAAGTAAGGTGTCAAGGATAACCAGACACTGAGGAGAATGTGAGGTGCGGCTGGAGGTCCCTGGTGAGAAAGGATCAGAGGAGTACTTGGGTATTGTCACGTGGACTGCTCCTGGATAACGTGAAATACCTGTCGGCGCTTCTCAGAGGACTGTAGTCACTCTGGTTCGTCATAGTTTTCAACGTTTCGAAGGACAACATCTTTTCAATTTTCATTAATGTGAAAGAATCGTTGTTCCCGGTTGTGTTGGTGTCAGTTCTCGTATGAAGCATATGATAGCAACACGCACAGGGATGTTGTTAACAGCTTGAGTCTGGTGTCAGGGGCCGCAATGTTAAATAAAATAGAAGATACGTGAAGTTAAAGATACAGCTGTTGTTTCTAGCGTCACCAAACAACCAAAGTCTGAGAACATTACCACAATCCCTTCTTCTTTTATAATTGCCACCGCCATTGTCATAACCACAATAAAATCACCATCCACCATCATCATCATCATCATCATCATCATCATCATCATCATCATCCCTACTGCCAAAAGTAACACTGTTCTTACCACCACCATCATCTTCATCACCACCACCACCACTATCATCACCTCCTTCATCATATCTAACCACCACCTTCATCCCCACTACCACTATAACCACCACCACCTTCATAATTTCCATAAACTCCTTCACCACCAACTTCCGTGTTGCCGCCTGTGAAATATACAAACAGAAACAACTCAGCTACACCGTCTTCCCCGAAACATCAAACTACTTCCACACCAACATGAGGTTGGTTCTCCTCTCGCTGAGGCTCTCTATGGTGGGACATTATTAAGATAATTCAGTGGCAAAGTTTTGATGTAGGACTCGGAGGAAATCTACAAAGTGGTCAAAGTTTTAGTTGGACTGAATTTGTACGTCTTTGAACACGGGGAAAAATATGAGATAAGTTAGGTAATTGCTATGTCAATAATGGTAGTCGGGAACTGTTTTAGTGAGGGACGTATGGCCCGTATCTCAGGTGGTATACAGGTAATGCGTAACGTAGTTCTTGTTTAGCTATTTTTTTCAAGTTGGGGACATTGAAGACGTGGCAATACAAGACTGTGATAAGTCACATATTGTGGACGAGTAGGCCTAATATTATCTGCCATAACGGCTACACACACTAAGAAAACTACTGATGAGTTAACACCATCGGAATTGATGATCAAGTGACCCTAGATAACTCGTAACTGGAAATTGAAAGTTAAGACAGGTAGCAAAAACAGCTGTCCTTGTAAAGAACTCACAGAGCATACTCAATTAACAAACTTATATTATTTCATAGAAGCAAATATATAAAATATGATTTTCAGATATAATTCTTTTGGGTAATGACAGTATTTAAGCGGATTATAAGACCTTTGAGTTTAGAATATTAAGCCAAAGCCCAGAGCATATTAGTGTGTGCTTAATTTTTAGAATTGGGTCATATAAGTTGATGGAATTCGGCGTGAAGTATAAAAATATTGACAATATTTCAGGAAAATTGTGTGGAAGAGACAAACTCGACTCCCTCAAATAACTGTATGAAGGGATGTAATATAAAAACTATTCCAAACTGCAGTTAGGCTAGAGGAGGGAGTGTCCAGTTATATGTATCAAAAAAGTAAAAAAAAAAAAAAAAATAGGTAGATAGAACAAACTGACATACAGCATTCGGGATAAACCTGACAACTTGGCTGTCAAGCACTGACACATGATACGAGGAAGTTAAAGGGAAACTTTTGGAAGTGACTCTCAGATATTCAGCTCACACAAAGGGTGGGGGTGATGTTAGCGCACAGGAACTCCAGAACAGATGCTAGACAACAACAATAAAGTCAGTGTTAATGGTTCTCTGGGAATGAAAGTAAAGAAAACTCCCTATTTGGGCTTCCTGTGTTCACTGTCCCAACCTAAACATTAAAATTGCGCCCCAGTCCTAAGGAACTCCAACCACAATGTGCTCTTAAAAGGTATTTGTCGAACATGTGTTCCAGTTAAGTGATTTCCCTAATACTAGAAAGTCTTTTAATCAAGTTTTTGTGTAGTGTTAGACCTCCTACTATTCTGTATTCATGTTACTTAATCCTACACATCAGGAAGTATCTTCTCTCCTCCCTCATTTCTTTACAGAACCTTCCCATTACACCTTCACAGGAAACACATAACAGAGCCCCGAGGTTACAAATATATGCAGTACAATTCCATACCTCTAACTTGTATCTATGTAATCTATACCGAAATTAACCTTGCTCAGTACACCATAGAATATACGAGTCATCTCAGGTTAAGTCACGTACGTTGGACGTCAGACAGTATACAGACATGTTAAGATATGATAGGTGTAACTCCTCGTATAGTCTAAATATTTATGAACAAATTGGTCTTTTACGACAAGCTGGTGAGATATTTGTTTACATCACAGGTTCTGACTCACTACGGATATCAGTTATATATATTAATAGACGTTTACTTTTTATGTGTCATCATTGTACACGCATATTTTTGGTTTTCAGTTACGACCTAGAAAGGGAGCCACCAAAGAATTATTTTTTCATCGCTGCTTCATACATGAATGTTTTAAAATTCTCCCATGACAAAAATACGTTTATATAAAAGTTGTTAGATTCAACTTTCATTTTTGTAGGTGTGATAGTGTCGGAACAGTTCATAAAATGGGTAAAAAAAAAATCTACTGTTTCAGCGTAAATCCCATTTTTAAATTTAGCAAGTGGAAAAAAAATCCCTTACTTCTGCCTCAGGCACTGAACTCATGAGTGGCGTCACCCACTGGCACCGAGAGGCCTAACAGACCTTGATGTCCATTTGATGAAGTTAATGCTTATGTCTGGTGCATCTCTGAAAGGAAACAAAATCAAACATTCTTACTAAGGTTTTAACTGAGCAAGACGTTTCTGTCAAGAGAGACAGTATTTAGTTTTATCTGCTCATTATTATTAGAAGAGATGTTGGATGAGCTACACCGAGACTGTAAGTGTGAGAAGGACATGGAAACATGGTAACAATTCACTCGTTATCTCCTTTAAGAAATGTCAGAAATACTTGAACTGAGATGCAACAATCCAGTTACACCAAGTTCAATTAACACCACAATTGGCGGCACTGCTGTCTGAAAATTATTTAAACTGACATTCGGTAGTTGTTCTCATTCGCTGCTGGCAATGTACACTAGCATGAACAGTCCCCAAATTATCAAGACTGGATGGCCTAGAGAGGTTCACTTCCTAATGTATCACGAAGACTGGGTAGCACAGATGCTCTGGCGCTGCTAGAGCTTGGGTGTGGGTTATTTGGTCTCCTTCAGTTCAGGAGAGAGAGAGAGAGAGAGAGATTTCAGGTCTATTCCCACAGGAGCTACACATTATTGAGTTCCTGCTGTCCTCCATTCCTAAGTTATGGTGTAGACTATAGGCAGGCAAACAGACAGATAATTATAAAGACAGTCGGACAAACTGATGAAAGAACAAACGCTAACAACGATGTGACCAGGTAATAAAGATTGTGTGATTAAGTGGGCTTCTAAATTTGGTATAAGAAAATATATACGTAATATAGACTAAACAAATAACATATTCAAGCATTTCCCTGATGCTTCTCCTCATTTATTTTCGTTTAGTTCCATATGCATGGGGAAGATACATAAATTCGTGATCAATACTTTAATCCAATTTGCAAAAAAAAACCTGTTGCACATCTGCATAAATTTGCAAGGTAAGCGCCTGGCCGCAGCTGAACTATATCCACCGTGACCGCTTAGTCAGATTCTATTCTGAGGGTCCGTCTATAAACGTCCAGGGAAACGTTTCCCACATGCACCCTAGGGTGGTCCTGACGTAATCCAATTTTCTCGAATATTATCCTCACGGTATACAGCATAGATATGCAGGTAGTGGCCAATCCAGGCACCAGCCAGGAAGTGTCTGGGACTATGGGAGCCACATAGCCCCCAGGCACCAGGCAGAGAATGAAGGACACTGCAATATACTATTAGATGAGGCTTCTTTATACGTCTAACATTTATAAGGTATATTTTGTTGTCTATGTTCATAGTTTAAACTTAGCAGCTGCAACATCTTCACTGTAAAGTACTTGCTGCGAGACATTCCTGTATCGCATGACTCAAGTGATATCAGCAGATGTTAGGATGTCGAACATACTGTGAAAACTTAGATTTCAGTCAGGTGTGGCTTTCAAAAGATGTCCCGGGTATTATAGTTCCTTTACATGTGTAGTGGTAACCAGAAAATATATTAATTGTCTATGACAGTACGTCTCTCAGTTCTAAATCAATTAATTGGTATTTATTTTTTTCTACCAACGTTGTGAAAATGTACTACCTAACCTAACCTTGGAATATATTTTAGTTAAGGTTGGAAGGTAATCTTTATCCTACCAGCCTATAGGACTAGAAATGTTTAATATCGTAGTTTAAAGGTCAATAGTATGGATTATCAAAGGCTGTGTGTTAATAACGCTACACAATGTTCAGAAAACGAGTATCATACTGTTTACTAACTTTATTAATGTTATTATCATTTGTAAAATTTAATTATTTCCTGAAGTCGACAGTAAGTAGATTATTTTAACAACGGGGTAAAAACAGTAAAACATAAACATTTCAAACATATATTAAAAGTGATTGAAAAATTGAGTCTCAATAAAAAGAATATTGTTACTGCAGCCAAACCAATAATTAGACTATGACCACTTATTAAGCTTTGAACTAGTTAACATCACTCTGTGTATATGTTTAATTACTTTAAAATAAACGCTGTATACTCGGGAAAAAAATGGAAACAAAATTCATTGTTTAAAGTAGTTATGAAGAGCGTCCAAACATTTTACTTACCAGGTTTATTAATATTCTAAAATATAGGTCAGCTGGTCTATTCTACGCGGTAACTTTATATATCCTACAAAATACAGGTAAGAGAAATAAATTACCTTGGGTGTTAAGGTATAAATATAAATAAAGTTATATGAAGGAGTTTCCCTTAGACCTTAAACTGCTATAGGTAACTGTTATAGAATATATGACTGCTATAAGAAACTAAAAGAAAACTTAGCATTGATCCTTAAGGTAAAAAAAACTCCATCAATTTACTTGGAAAATGTTGTGATGTGTAGTTTAGTTTTTGTATACAACATATATAAAACCTAAAATACGCAAACTTTATATTATATGATTGTTATTCCAATGTGTTACTTGACTGTAATGTTGCAGAAATTGACTCTTTGTTGATCGTCAGTGAAAGAACATGTGTTGTAGCTCCAAGTCAATCTCAAGTTCTTAAAAAAAATTGTGTCTTTTAATCCTGTAAATACCTTTGTCTAGTGTTTTAGTTTACACATGTTTAAGTCTAGTGTACGAACAGATTTTGTGTGTTATGTTTGAAGACCTTACCTGTTGAATCGTGTCCGCATATAAAATAAACACAGAGGCATGAACGATGTGACGCGGCAAACTAGTCATAACAGAACTAATTTTTATACTATTTAGAAAGTTAATTTTGTACGGAACTATATTGAACAGAACTAACCACCAAAAATGTCTAAGTGCCTTGTTGTTATTATTGTTGATATAGGTAACGTGGCTCAGGAGGCGAGACCTTCACATCTTAACCACCGGCCACCACACCTACTCAGCTGACGACAGATTTCAGGTGTGTGTCTCTACACTTCATCTCTTTCCCTGTATTTACTTTCATATGTCTATATTTCTCTGTTTGTTCTTTTTACGCTTTTATCTATGATTGTATCCAGAGAGAGAGAGAGAGAGAGAGAGAGAGAGAGAAAGAAAGTAGCAGAAAGTAGCTTTAGTCTCTCCATTAACTTATTTATCTACTTTTTCATCAATTATAAAACACAAAGTGGTTTCCTCTCCGTCATCCATCAAGATCAGAAGTCTTTGTAACATAGTTGGGGAGATAACGTGATAGATGGTTCTCGCTATCTACCAGTATCAAGGAAACTATTGTTTGATGACATTTATAAGATATATATAGTAATCATCAGTTATTTCCGCAACATTTGTTCCAGGAGCATGATTGACAATAAGACTATTGGCAATTCAAAATCTCACAAAATTGACGAAATATCCATGAAAAAATAATAAAAACACAGCAATTATAATACTTTTTGTACAATAAACAACGGGATTTATAAGTAATTTAAATGCAATAATTATCTTTAATATTATCTTAAAAAATTATATTAAACACTGATAATTTTTTTTCTGTTTTTAAAAGTAAATCGAATATTGTATACGGCAATAGTGCTCCACAGGAACTCGTATTTTGACCGAGGTTTGGAAGCCTATCAGAGTGATTGCTGGCGTATCGATTATGTGGTGTATGATGCATTTATTTCTTATGTGCTGTTATTCACTTTTCTTTCTAATGATACTGCGTGTTGTTGATAAGTCTATTATTTGCATTCATAACCTGTAGGATAATTTACAGGCGATATGTTATAAAATCGTGCAATATTGCCATCAACATGAACATATGAACACACCTGAACTGCATGGTCAATTTGTAGGTGCGATTAAATAATTACAAATGATATAACGACTAATACTATCCACACAGTTGAATTACCTTTCCACTACAGGATAACCATTTAGAGAGTGACTGTGTCCTGTTTCTACAGCTGCCATAGAATGTAACCCCATTAACGTTTCTCTCTACTCACTATTGTGATAGTTGATTAGTTTAATTGAAATATCTGTATAAAATACGTTAACTATATTATATCTATGTCAACCTAAAGGGCATGACCTCTTGTTGACCCAGACCAGCCCTAAATGCACTTTCCAGCATCAAAGACCTTTCAGCTGGTGAGAGGCTTGGCTAACCCTTGGGTGATCCTGGCTCAGTAAACATATCTTGCTGGATCTGGCACAAGTATTTTACTTCCTTCAAAAGGCACTTTCTCTCTCTTTCGCACCGACAGCCGTATTCCTTATACTTAAAAAAATTTCAGTACCGCTTGTAATTACTATTGTTAATATCCTCATTATTATATATATATATATATATGAAATAAAATTACCCAATCTATCTCCTACATTCAACAGTACCGCCGTAAAGTGTGTTTGGAGGCGTGTTAGTGTAAAAAAAATTTTATCTGTCTATAAACATTTTATCAAATAGTTTGACTCTGCTAAAAAATAATTCCTCTGAACATGACCAAACAAATTAAGAACTTTAAAACGTAAACAATAGATGAGGACTCTCTAAAATCAGTAAATAAGAAAATAAATATGCTTACAGAAGGTTAACTTTGGTAATTTGTAACTGAGAGTCAGGGTGTGACTCAGGGCAGCAGAGACCCATCAGTGAGAGCTTCTCGGTGTGGGGCGGACCTGCGGACAATTTCCACGGGACTGTCAAGTCTTAGACAACAAATTAGAAAAACCCCAAAAGAGCAAAGCCTCATTACCCAGACGGCGCATTATCTTGCCTCCTGGGGTTAAGTCAGATTAAGGTTGGGTCCCAATAACACCACGAGAAGTGGACGCTCCTCCGAGGTGCTGCAGCTCCCAATCTTGTCCAATTTCTGTCTTATTTCTGTCTCACCCGCAGAGTTTACCGGTGATGTATTGTCCCTATTCCTTGTTGCTAACGATGCTGATGTACTGATTGTTTGGCATTGTTTATTTCCCTCCCATATTATTTGTACAATTCTCTCTTTCTCTGGGCGTGAGTACGACTGGGAAACGGAATTCTATACTCAAAGGCAATATGTCCTTTGTCTGAAAAAGAAAACATTTGACCAGTGCCTGCTGGCTTTTGTGAACCCAAATGAAACGTGTTACATGTGTTGACTTGAATTCCACGTGGTCATTTCTTCTAAAACGAGAGCAAATAATGGCGTGGAATAATTGTACACTATTATTAGACCAGAAAATAAATTAATAAGATATGTGACTTTTAAAAGACAAATCCAAAACATCGTAACTCAGCTGCAGGTAGTCCTATTGTCTCCCTTAATGTAATTCAATCCTTAACACGGGAAATTAACTCCCGTTCTCCCTTATTAATGATCGTAGACTGTTACAATACCCATCTTCTGACCTTCTCCCCCAGGTGGTCCACAGCCCCGGCAGCGATCAGTGGCCGCTGGTGGTGACCTACACCCAGCTGAGAGACTCCGGCATCTATGAGTGTCAGATTAACACTGACCCTAAACTCTCTAGACCTGTCATGCTTAATGTGTATAGTAAGTACATGTTGGTATTGACGTTATAATATATTACTGTTGCTTCATTAGCTATAGTCTATAAGCGAATGTTTTAGATTAGTAAATAAACTAATTTTCAGCAATTAGACATTCAGTACATATAGGGTGTCCCAGGAAAATGTTCCTCCCTCCCTCCCTCCCTCCCTGCCTGCTCCCTGAGACCTGTGAGTTGGAGGGAGGCAGGGAGCAGGCAGGGAGGGAGGGAGGCAGGGAGCAGGCAGGGAGGAAGGGAGGCAGGGAGTAGGCAGGAAGGGAGGGAGGCAGGGAGTAGACAGGGAGGGAGGTAGGAAGCAGGCAGGGAGGGAGGCAGGAAGCAGGCAGGGAGGGAGGGAGGGAGCAGGCAGGAAGGAAGGCAGGGAGCAGGCAGGGAGGGAGGCAGGAAGCAGGCAGGGAGGGAGGGAGGTAGGGACATCCTATATTCTTTCGTTGTAATACTCGAGTCGGCTTCTGTGGTGTAGAGGAGATAGGGTGTGAGTGTGATTCATGACACCTTCAGTTCACAAAATTATACAACCTAAGACACTACCTAAGTCAATCTCTCTGGTTTTCACATGAACATGATTTACTTTAAACATAACATTACATTACATCTCCTGAACTATCAACAAGAATTCCCCCATTACGTCTCCAAGCGGTTAATAACACTATATCATTAACAATGACTGGGAACATTGCGTGCCGTGTAACCACGGGCGTGTTGGACCATTATATGAAACTGGAAATTAGGATGAATGCAAATTGGAGTTAAATTCCCAGTAGCGGTGCAATACACCGAGGAGGTAAGGGACACCGGCTGTGTTATACCTGGCTAAATACCTTTAATTATCTCGGTTATTACTTGCGTTAACCCGTGTATTAAGTATTCCTATACATTTTTTTTAATATTAAGAAGTTTATCATAACATTAAATAGTACACGTTGGTCGCAGCCATACCAAACGTTGACCGGAAAACAGTAAATATGCAACAGGAATAAAAACTAAATAAAATTCTCTAAATCAATAAAGTGTCAACCATACACAGTGTTACACGTTTAATTGGACGTTCCGAGGAAAATACGGTGACAAATTAAAAATAGTAACACAACTATTATTTGCACGCGTTCATCTCCAATATATATTACCGATAAATAATTTACCTTTTTATATTTGGAATCTATATTTCACTCAGTAAACACGTAATTCGTATATGGAATAAAACTTTACACTGCTATTTGTTGATTGACGCATAAAGAAAAATGAAGAGTTTCAAATTTTCATCAATATTAAAAAAAAAATGAAAATCACTCATAAAGGCTCTATATTTTCATATGTACTTCACCGTCGCTTAGTAATGCCAGTCATTCTTGGTTGTAGTAGATTAATGTGTCAAAGTAATTAGTATTTGGTTTACTTGGTTATATACTTGACAAAAGCTTCATCAACTTCTCTGACATTACGCGACATCAAGGCTGGAGGGTAAGTGGTTTTTTAATGGATATTCCAAGCCTGTAGTCGAACATGACATCTTGTCGTGCCTGGTGTTTGTTCCGTCTTTTGGCAAAGTTAAATACATTTGGAGACGTGACCACCGTGCGTAATGAGAAGTTGTCTTGTCTTAACTTGGTATGTGGACAAGTCTTGGGCAGTTTTAAGACTATGACTTCTTGTAATTTCATTGTGTGGTCTCGGTGGTGAATAGTAACATTAAATAAGGGTTTTTATTCGTGTCGGATCCCTGAACATAGACTTTCATTAAACCGCATCAACACCCCACTAGATGACGGCAGCTTAAGGCGCTAAGTACAATAATATCGTACTCGAAGGAACCGATCACCACATTTAAAGTGTTAAGACATCGTTCTCATTGGATTAAGTCGTCGTACTCTTGAAGGTTATCTTAATGGACTAACTCACTGTCCTCAGGTGGATGGAATTGTCCTGAAGGAATTAAGGTTCTCTCTCTGGTAAGGAAGATAATCTAAAAGTTTCTAAAAGTTAGTGTAATAAATGAAAGCATAAGACCTGTTCCCCAGATCCTGAGTAAGACGTCTGGAAATTAAATGGAAATAGACAAATTGAAAATACCATATGAAATAATGTATCTAAATCTTGGTATAATACTACGATAATAACTAGTAAATTAAAGTTAATCCCTGTTGTCATTTCTTATATATTCGGGTATTTTAGTTATTGGTAGCCAGGCAAGGCTTTGTGTGTGTGTGTGTGTGTGTGTGATGGTCTCATATACATGCTTAAAGACCCTAGTGGTTGAAACACATACAAACAACATCAATCATTTTCACACAGACGAAAACCAAGATATTCTCTAATACTACTTTAATGATCATCTTCATCCCCAACAAGAGATGTTATTACAATCAACTTTATTTCTTTATCTCTTGTCAGACTCTTCTCAGCCGATCAGCGTGAGCAAGAGTAAAGTATTTGTGGCCAATAACACCGCTTCCACCAAAGACGGTAAGTAGTGTTGTATGTACAGGTCATATGTATGTATGTATGTATGTATGTATGTATGTATGTAATCTCATCAATTCATATAGTGCGCGGACTTCCATATGCAAACAATACCTCACTGGACCTCTGTGTGTGAATAGGGTTCGCTACCACCGCGTATGTACGTACGTCCGTATGTATGTATGTGTGTATGTACACAGGGCCAAAAGTTAGTGTGAAACAGTGTAACTGAGCTACTGGAATGCGGCTCCAAACTCACCTACCCTAAATGTCGTCTGGTGCGGTTGTGCTGTTTTGTCTAATTCAGGGTCGATACTGCTTCACACTGAATTTTCAATTTGACTGGCTGTACAGTTGCCTCCACTTCCAGCTTTAACAGTGAACCTGATCTCCCCGAGCAATGTGGCACCACTGTAAAAAAAATCCCAGCCGAGGGAAGGGTATCAGTGACAGTGAGTCAGTAAAACTCATGTGATTCAGTTGAGCTCGTTTTGAGAGTTTGAACCAGCGTAAAGAAGCTTTAAATTAGCTCCTGTCACGGTGGGAAGGATATAATACGTCTACCGATACTTGTGACACACTGATTATGGAATGTGCATTTTGTTATAATTGAAAGTGACGTTGTTGCCGTCTATAGCTATTTGAAACCAACATTGTTTGTAATGTTTGTCTCAAAACAATATTAGGAGGCGGAGACACAACTTGTCATATTATTTTTCTGCAAACAGTCCTTTTGGAAAGAAAAAATATATATAATTGAGGAAACTGAAGGCAAGGGAAAAACAAGAAGAACTAAGAGGGCAGGAAGGCACCAGACCCTAGGTGCATTATAAGGCTCTCTCACAAGCATCTGGAGAAACTCTCAGGAAAGGCTCACAGTACGATACTAAAGGGAGCAAGATAGTAGGAAGCCACATGAAATAGCGTGTCCAAATAAAACTTAGAATCAATAAATGTGGGACATAGTTTATTTCTGCAAAGTAGCGAGTGTTGTGGATCAGTAAACAAGATGGTCACAAGTAATCAGTGCTTGATGTAAACGAAGAGGAGTGATATTGTCAGTGCCTCAAGAGGTATTAGATTTGAAATATTCTAACTGTACAGAAAAAGAGCTGGACTGCATAAACCCATTTAGTCCATAGAAATGTACTGCTAAGTTCTCGAAGGCGAAAGCTTTTAAGCTGTATACATTTTCCCACTGAGATCTCTGGCCCACAGCTAAGTGAAGTTAATGTTCATCCATTGACATCCAAGAGGCACCGGAGGAGCTCGGAGGGTTATATACAGCACACAGCCGCTGAGTGTCATTGCTGGCAATACCAGAGGTAGTGACGATTTCGACACTGTCCTTTGGGATTCCCTCCTTCCTTACGACACATGCGTCCCAAATGGAATCATTATTAAAACTGGAGCAAAAATTCTATGGCATTGTCATGATTTAGTGAGTCACACCTTCAACCATCCTACAATATGGCCTTATTTTTCAAGTCGAGAAAATATAGTTATGGAACCCGGTTGGAGATAAAAGTTTCAGAAACGCATGACTCCTTTCTCCGTAGGAAGACATTTGTTGGATTTTGGATCATTCGACAACCTCTGCAAATGGAACAATCTGTCAAGAGCGGTAGTTCTCTGTTAAGCCCTTCAAGTGCACAAACACAGAGAACATTTTTTTTAAGATTCAAGTAAAACAAGAACTCAAGATTCAATAAGAAATAATTCGATATACAGTGCAATAAATTAAAATATACTAAATTCTACAGCGAAATGAATATTCAGAAATAAAGGTTGCTATTAAGTATGGTCTGAAGGTACATTGTATATGGTAGTCATTGAAAAAAATGTGATGCAAACATAGCGGGTTGAGTAAAGGTCGGGGTGTGTGGATGTGTGTGGGTGAAGGAGTATTTGGAGTATTTGCTACAGGTATCTGGAGAAAAGGGAAAAATTTGTTAGTGTGGTTTATGGATCTAGGAAAAAGCATATGATCGAACCGATAGAAAACCGATGTGGGAAGTATTGGAAATAATTGGGAGAAATGGAAAATTGTTGAATGATGTTCTCAACTTTTCTCGGGGAAGGAAGAAGTCTTAAAGCGCGTAGGGAAGAGAGTAAGTTGTTCCAAGTGAGAGTAAGATTGTCAGCTGTAAGACGCCATGGTGTCATGGACAGGGGGGGGGGGCTGAGATACAGAGCCTACATGGCTAAAATAGCTGAAAGGGATAACGGTTTATGTGAGAAGTGATCTGGAATGGAAGTGGAAGGTGAGTCAACTGTTGTTTAAACTGTTATACCTTTCGGGGATCCAGAATAAATTTTTGGATGACTTTGTAGTAAGAAAAGTGTAAGAGTACTTCTTTAAAAGTCAAATGATTAGGTTTAAGAAGAGAAACAAAATAAGGAGAAGAATGTTTGTTGGAATATAAAATGAATGGAGGAGAGAAGAAGCTTCACCAATGTGATACCCTATATATTCTGTTTCACAGGTCACCTGCGAGTAGAGATCTTGGGGGCTCGGGAGCTGTACATTGAGGAAGGTTCCTCCCTCACCCTCAAATGCCTGGTGACGTCTTCCTTCGGCCCTTCTACCCTGGTCTACTGGTACCATGACACCCGTCTCATCGATTATGCCTCCCCCAGAGGCGGCATCAAGCTCAAGGTGAGTGTCCCCCCTCCTCTGATGTGGTGGAATAAGAGCTCAGGAATTACAGGACGTGGCCTTGGGATAGTGATATAATGTATACATTATTTGTTTTTGAGATACTTGTGAGACACTGGCATATGATTTAAACAAAACAAAAAATTGCGGGGAACTTGAGTTTAGATGTAACATTACGCCTTTTACAACTAGCAAAGCACCAAATAATTCAAGACACTACATAAGCAGTGAAAATTCCTGTTTAATATATTCCTGAAATACTTCCCAGGCAGTATGGTACCGTAATTAATGCTAAACTTTGTCTGTTGACTAAAATCGACTATTTAGTTAAAATTTGATGATAACTACAGATCGACCATGAGCGGGGGGAGACCATTGCCCGGCTGGTGGTGGAGACAGTGACGACTGAGGACTCCGGGATGTACTCATGCGTCCCCTCTGGCTCACATCCCGCGTCCGTCCGCGTCCACGTCCAACAAGGTACGTCCTGCCCACACTTTCACCCCACATCCGACCTCTCAGGTACTGTAGATATCCCACATCTCACCAGTGGTCAAGTCCACTTAGGTACGTCCCTCACTCCTCAGGGTTACACCTCGAATCCGTCTACGGTAAGTTCATCTTCACCAAAGTACATCCCATGTCCTCGTTAGGGGCAAAGTGGATGCAGCAAACTATATACTGAACCTTAGTGGATACAAAGAGGTAGTGCGGCCAACAAACCCTCCATGGTGTTCTGTGGAAATAACATACACATTTGTTCTACCGAAACTCTGCTTATTCCCACACGGAGAAGCTTTTGCTGTTCATTATGTATTTTCATGAATATATAAAGGTATATTTTTTGAAGTGTAATTAATCATGCGGTATTCTTACTTTGTGAGGGAAAGATTGATAGATCATACAAGAAATAACTAATTTACTCTGTCCATAGACTAACCTGTAAACTAAAAATAAATAGATGTTATTAATTTCAATGATATTTATTTTTTTCCACAGCAGGCGAGCAGAAGGCGGCCATTCAACAGGGAGGACTAAATGACACCAGCTCCTCCACGAGACTCACTCCCCTTCCCCTCATGTCCTGTTTCTTGCCTCTCCTCCTCCTTAGCCTCCCTCACCTTATCCTCAGTCTCCCTGTTCTTCCCTCCCTCCTGACATTCCTAGCCAGTGTGGTGTTGTGTGTATCCATCAAGCAAGTCAGTCTCCCGTTCCTTTACATTCCTTTTATCTACCTAACCAGTCTCCTCCTGATCGAGTCAATCTCCTTTACTCACTCTCTCCACCTTCACGTATTCCAGTACCTCAAAAAACATTCATCTACCATCTTTCTCGTATTTTTTCTTCCCTTTAGCTCTGTTCTCTCTTTCTCCAACTTACACAGTGTCCATATTTTGTTTATCTATCGTACCTCAATCTGTTCCTTGAGTATTTTTATTATTCCTGTCCTCTTTAACCTCGTCACACACTTGGGAGTCATACACGTCATAGCGAAGCATCTTGACGTCTTTTCCTCTCCCAGCAGTGGCCTTGCTTCTTTTGGTCCCTTTCCATTCTCATCCATTCCCTTTCTTCCTGTCTCTCCTTCTCCCTCTACCCAACACTCTCTCTATTACGGCAGTGTCTCATGCTTCACTCACCTCTTCTCCGTTTTCTTTTCATCCTTCCTGTTCCATTTTCCTCACCCCTTCCTCACCGCCTTGTCTCTTTTGCTGTGTCTCCATTACATCCATCAAGAAAATGGGATACTGAGGACGGCAGGATCAAGAAAGTCAAAGATTCAACCAAGTATAGAAATTACAAGCATTTATTTGTGTAAAGTGATGTGTGTGTGTGTGTGTGTGTGTGTGTGTGTGTGTGTGTGTGTGTGTGTGTGTGTCATATACAAGACCCTTGAGTTTTTATTTTATATCTGAGTGTTGCTTTAAAACAAACGAATGAGACTTTCTGTAAAAGACGAAATGGAACTATTATTACGAACCTTTGTGTATTCGTCAGGAAGTAGTGAGTCTAAGAAAAACCTCTGAAGAATGAAGTCACATTAAATGGGGGATGAAGTCACATTAAATGAGGGATGAAGTCACATTAAATGAGGGTGAGGTAACATTAAATAGAGCATATACTGAGCACGTTATCATTCAACGCATCATTCAACGCATGACGGACAGATTACTGATTGCCGCTGAGACTGTAATTAGAGCACAGCGGTGTTGATGATGATGGAGGAGTGACAGGTTTGTGCTAACTCTCAAGGTGTGTGTGTCTGTGTGTGAGTCTTAATGATCACTTGGACTCAGCTGTGACTTTATCTCTCACCACCAGGGAGTAACGACGAGTCAGTCCCAGCTGAATGTATCTCACGGAAGCTTAATGTGGTCGGTTATGTGGGTGAACAAGGCAATGTAAACAATGAAACAAGGAACGGAACACCAGGAATAATATGCGGCAAATAAACAGGAAAAATTAATAAAATAAAATTAAATAAAGTTTAGGAAAAGATGAAAGCTGGAGAAACATTTTATATAAATAATGAAAAACTTAAACACTGAACTTAGTTGGTCTGTAAAAGAAAATAATAGTGCATTAAAGAATAAAAAAAATCCTTATATTTTCATTAAGAAAATATTTATTTATTTTTTATGGTGCCATAACTGTAGTTATTTTTCAGTGATAATTACCTCTTTTTTCAAAAACACTTTTCATGTTATGTGTCAGTTTCACAGCCTCTGGAACAAAGGCAAGCACGAGAACTACTGAATGCTCTTCTCACCTTACGTCGCGGCCAAAAATATATGACCCAAGCTGGAGAGAAGGAGAGGCAAACACGAAACTATAAACACGAAGGAAAAGTGTATTAGAAGGAAAAATGTATTTGAAGGAAAAATGTATTTGAAGGAAAAGTGTGTACGACAAAGCTGGTAAACCTCATAATCCTGAAAATATATAAGGAAAGTCCGGCACCTCATTCTCCTCATCCCTAACCCTCACTTCACGGGGAAAACCTAATGACCTGTAGACTGTTTTCACCTGTAATCTTAACCTCTTTCTTGTCTGGTCTCCTTTAGCTACCAAGTGATGACCAAAGTCTCCCCGACTACTTCAGTTTGTGGTTATGGTCTCTGGTCTCAACTCGGTTAACATTGCCCGTGATGATCTGTTCAACTCACATGATGATCGTTTTTAACTGCTCTCATTCATTGGAACTTACATATTACAATAGATATTTCTTAGTGATGGTTGAGTCAGAAAGTGTGAAAATTTGGTATAAGAAAATAAAATCCTTCAAGAAATGTTCGTTGTGCTTGTTCTGATTGAATCAACACAGTGTATAAGATGGGAATCAGATATACGAATGCATACATACCAGCGTAATGTGCACAAGATTTGCGAGATTAATGTCACACACACAGCGGACTCTGGTGATTTACACCACGTAAACGTGAGTTATTGCTCACCAACGTCAGTAACTCTCCGGTACTTTTGGGCGTCATGACTCATAAAGCTAAAGTGTTTTCCTAAAAGCTCACTGGCTCTTCGTGCATTATAGCCTGACGGATGAGTGTGATGTAAGCAGTAATGAAGACTGATGTGATCTACATTATAACTTTCGGCCATGTATGTTGTGATGTAACCACAACACAATCGTCTCTTTTCCTTCAAGTCAAAGTTGTATCTGCTATTTTCATATTCTTTCATTATATTTTATTTCAGACTTATTTGGGGGACATATATCACAGCACCGCGTTGAAGCTACAGCACAGTGGGGTATGGAAGAGTGAAATTTATCGAAACATTACGCATCACATATTGTTGTAAGAATATGGCACAGTACACAGCAGTTTGAGCACACGATAGATTATGAATACATCACACACACTGCTGGCAAAAATCCCAGAGCAAATTATGTAGCGGAACACACAAAAGCAGATGACAATAAGTAGCGTAAGTACATAATATAACAATATTGTGAATACATGACAACAGCATGTACAGTAGATGCTCATGGATGTAATAATTATCAACTTCCCAGTCCCATAATCCACCACACATGAAACATCTCTCTTAAGCTCACACCACTAGGGATAATTCGGCTTTGTCGTGAGTTCATAACACCAAAAACACCTTTGGCTTGTCACGAGATCACAGCATATGCTACAATTATGCTGCACCATACGCTCGCTCATCCACAAGAAGAGACTAGGTTATTGTGTCGTGAGCTTACAGCTTGGGAGAAGTATTATTGTGGATAGTATAAAAGCTAAAATTATGTCATACAGGTACTTAAGACAGCCTCGAAGATACTGAGACAAACGAGTGTATGACACATAATTCAAGTATACAGCGCGAATATATTTTAGGCATCATACACGAATAAAAGAAGAACACATATGCCACGTGCAATTATTTAACAAAAATATTCATGACACATACTGTACAATCACATAGCGAGATAAACTATGACACATTACACCAACACAAGGACACACTTTAAGGAGGAGTTTACACTGTTACACCCACTAAACGTCTAACTTAACTTGGTCAGTGTTGTAAATAGATGAGGAGACTGGTAACACCTGACAACACAGGCTTATATCTATATTTGTTATCGACACACCTTTTGTATGGGTAATAATAAATATTTATAGAGTTTCCAGTATTTATTATTCTCCTTATGTGATATAGATCATCACGTCTATTTAGAGATAATAGATTCTGAAAATTTGATGAAATAGATTTATTGGGTATACTACTACTACTACTATAACTACTACTGTTTTTTGGGCCTTCAGCCTCCCCCAATAGCCATACCTTCGTCACCATTTTATTACCTTAATATTAAATATCTAATACATAAGTAGCTAGCCTAGCTGTGTTGAATTAGTTGAGCCGCAGATCTATGCAACTGTTGTCGGCTTTGGGGCCGATGCTCTCGTTCCCCTGAGGCAGAGCAAAGCCGACCGAAGGAGAGAGAAGGACAATCGACATCTCATCCAGGCTGTAACATAACTCCTGGGCTGCTGCTTCTGTTCGGATATCACCTCCGCGAGTCTGGAGTAGAAGCATCTTGGGCTTGGTCCCATCCCACCAGAGGTTGTGAACACTAGAGGAGTGAAGCTGCTACAACTACTACTACTACTTTTTTTTAACGTGGCCTCCAACCTCCCCAATAGCCACACCTTCGCCGCCATTTTATTACCTTAAAATTAACTATCCTAATACATAGGTAGCTACCCTAGCTGTGTTGAGTTAGTTGAGCCGCACATCTATACGTAAAATTTCAGTTGATAGACTCAATCAACGTTTTCGTGCCCCAAAACCACCCACCACTCCTTATAATTGTCCATATAGCTCTATCTTTTCTTTGTGTGAGTGTGGGGTGGGCGCTGAGTCGTTAACCATTTACATGTCTAGTGGGGCTGAACCAACCAACTACTTTGTTTACAGTGGGGGAATACTGAGTACTTGGCAACAATCTGTTCAGTTACGAGTGGGCCAGCTGAGAGTTTCAGAGATCTTACAGTGAAGTGATGACTTGGTGGGATGTGTCCAATTAATAGTTAAGTCACAAGTTGGGAGGATTTTGGTCGGGGGAGGGGGGTATTGCTGTGAGTACTGAGTGTTGGTTGATGGGTGTAGTGTGTTGCGTCTTCAGGCAGGTGTAGTATGTGGTGTGTTGAGGCAGGTGTAGTGTGCTGTATGTTCTGGCAGGTGTAGTGTGTGGTATCTTCAGGCAGGTGTAGTGTGTGGTGTGTTCAGGCAGGTGTAGTGTGTGGTGTCTTCAGGCAGGTGTAGTGTGTGGTGTCTTCAGGCAGGTGTAGTGTGTGGTGTGTTCAGGCAGGTGTAGTGTGTGGTGTCTTCAGGCAGGTGTAGTGTGTGGTGTGTTCTGGCAGGTGTTGTGCGATGTGTCTTCAGGCAGGTGTAGTGTGATGTGGCTTCAGGCAGGTGTTGTGTGATGTGGCTTCAGGCAGGTGTAGTGTGATGTGTCTTCAGGCAGGTGTGGTGTGCTGTGTGGCAGGGAATTTGGGAATTTCACCTGCATAATTCGCTGGTGGGGAAGTTTTCTTGCAGGTAAATTACCCTGTGAGAAAGTGACCTGAGGGAAATTATCTGCTGATGGTGTATTGGGCGGAAAATAGTCTGGCGAGGAGGTGAGTTGCCTGGTGAGGAAATGTCTGTTTGGTGAGATGTCAGGTGAAGTGTGTGCTTGGTGAGATCACTGATGAATAGTTAACTTCAAAAGGACTATGTTTCGCGATATTTGGGTAAACAAATAGGCCTATTTGTCGCCCCTAATACTGTACGTTCCAGTAATCATATCGATGGATCAGATGTAGAAATACCTCACAGCTAGTCTTCCTACTTTAATCCAGAGAGTAGGACACTGTTGATATTAATTACCTTGAACTGAAGACTATCATTCTTATTCGGGTGTTATAGGGAGTAAATAAAAACATTGACTTCCTCTTTACGTTTCAAAGAAAAAACAAGTGATTGTTTCTCTTTCTGAAAAAAATACAATAAGATACGTGATGTAAATGACTAGAATATGTCACGCAGGGAAAATACATTTATTCTTTGTCTGTGAATTTAAAAAAAATATATTAAAGCCTGGAAATTAGAAAAACGGGACAGAAATATGAATTTTTTAGATAAATAAAGCTGACACTCAAGACAAAAGTGATTTTGCCTAAATGGCCAATAAATAACCAGTGTACTTGAAAGGTAAAAATTAATCTTTTGTGAAAACTTTTAATCACGAGGGAGAAAAAATTATATGCGTTTGATCCTAAATAATTGCTGAAATTGTATATATGATAAAGGTGAAATACTCACTCACTCATATCACCACTCCTTTAAACTCTCACCAAACTATGAAAACAGGTGGAATTTCTCAAACATTTATGAGGCTTGGTAGTAGCAGCCACGACCATGTACTTTAAGACACATTAGGTTAGATACATGAACTCCATATTTGCCTTTCTTTTCCCTCTCTGTGGCTACTAGCACACTAAACGTCTGAAGATGACCTCCTCTCCCTCTGTGTCCACTTCTGAGACAATACACAACACGACCCTCAGCTACCTTCTTTCACTAGCGACCTCGTTCGTCTCTGTGTCTGGAATTGTGGTTCAGGATTCCCGAGAGCGTATTGGCGCCTTACACAAGTTGACGCTCGATATTTCTTCTCAGTTACGACCTGAGAGACGTGTAGGCAACATTGAGCTTGTCCTGTGCGACTTGTACTTACGATGACTGTGAGTATCGTAGGAAGTGTTTGGGTGTGTCCAGTGGATCGATGTTGGGAAGTACATAGGTACACTTCATATTGTGTGTGTGTGTGTGTGTGTGTGTGTGTGTGTGTGTGTGTGTGTGTGCTGATGTTATGTATTTTTAATATACAAGTAAACTTTTATTTTATCTTTCCTTGGGTTAAGACGTTGCTGCAGAACTCGTAAAAGCGCTTCACACAAGCCAGGGTGAAATATTGTGGCCAAGTCTCCGTTTTCAACAGTACGGTCCGACATATCTCCTTGCAACATCAATTCTTATTCCTTTAAGAAACTATACAAAAATAATCTACTTATTGATTAAGCTTTTTCTATCATAGATTTTTATAAAGAATGGAAGGGTAATAAGTAATGCATACTGGGGTGGTAGTGGAAACAATTACAGCATACATAAGTAAATAGTCATAGAATGGATACAGCCATATGGTAAAGCCCTGAAGTTAATGACATTAGAAACAAGAGAATACAAGCAAAAATAGAACAACAGAGATAACGCAATGATAGAGTACAGGGGAAATAAATCACGCGAGGAAAAGAAAAATAAGGAAGAGAGATTAAAGGAGGAAATGGAATATAAAGATGAGATAAAGGAGAAAGAAGAATGAGGGCGATGACGTTGGAGGTAAGATAAGCATTATGGTGACATTCAGGAGCCTTGGGGCTACAATATGACCCTGGGAGACTATGTTCCTGTTGGCATTATTACACAGTATAACACAGTAATAACATCATGTTCCTGTTGGCATTATTGCACAGTATAACACTGTAATAACATCATGTTCTTGTTGGCATTATTACACAGTATAACACTGTAAGGCCATGTTCCTTTTGGCATTATTGCATTTTGGATGACAATATTCACCATAATTTTCTGTTATGGGTTTAGTTTATTATACAGTGCACTAGATCTATAGTTTTCAAGATACGAATAATGTCCTTAATAATTCGTAACAAAACATTCTAGTGTTCTTAAATCGTAGTTCGTGTAAAACCCTTCAACCTTTTACATTTCCATAATACAACCTTAGTAAATAAAAGAACTCATAATGATGAAATCATTATGAGATCGAATATATTTGTCTTCTATTCAAGCGTCAACAAAATCGGCTCTTCTTATGTTGTTTATTTATGCCATGAGAACGAAAAGAAATTGATCTAAATTATGACCTCTATCAGTGACGCAACCTTTACAAATAGCTGCAATGTATTTTCCAAGATAATATTTATGCCACTGATACGAATATTTCTCACGTATCACTTTAAAATCTATGTAGCTACCTGTACCTGTACCTACATCTGTAATTGTACCAACACCTGAAATTGTACCTGCGCCTGTAGTTGTACCTATACCTGTACCTTGGTTGTAAATAGATCCTTGATAATTAATTTTTGTTATTAGGCAACTAGATAGGTATTTAAAAGTGTGTGTGTGTGTGTCATGAGCTGGATGAAGTTACTCATGACGTAATATAGGGAACCCTCGAGATTGTTTGATATCTCTGCTGTTAGTCAAGGTTGTGGCTTCCAACAGGCTGGTCGGCAGAGGGTGACAGGAGGTCGCGGTGTGATCTTCACTGAAGGTGAGAGAGTATCGTGCATTTTAAGGTTATCCAAACCCTCCCGCAGAGTATTTGAAACTGCGTGGATTATACCAGACCGGGAAGCCTGTTGGTGGAAGTCTCGTGTGAGGGACAGGCAGGGAGTAAAGGTAGAGTGCACTTGTAGGTCTCTAGTTGTGTGTGAGGCCGGTTAAGAAGGGGGCGGAGTACTGACACTCTCCAGTGCAGGACCACAGTCGTCATTAACGGTAGGGTTCACCCCCGTTAGATCGTTGATTTAATGTTATTAGGTATTGTCTGTGGTTGTAATATGTTATAGGGATAGGGAAGACTAAATTAGGATTTATTCTTTATAGGAAAATTTTCATTACATCTGTATTTGCTGGTTAGAGTATTTTTACCAATGTATGTTATATTTGGTCCATGTAATCTGTATTTTGTGGGTATTGTATGTTACTAGCATATGTTAGGTTAAGTTGTATTATCTTTTGTATAATGGTTGTACTGCCAGGTGGCTAATTGTTTCTTTATGTTGACTAGGAGGAGGGAGCCATACGATAACTGCAATCGTGGGCTGACAGCGTACAGCGAATGAGGGTGCGCCAAGTCCGTAGACTTGCATCGTTTTCCAGCATAAATAAAATGGTAAATTAATGGCTTCCTAAAGAAACCATCGATATGGGACCAGGTTTGTTCCACTCTACGAATTTTTTGCGATTTTTCCACAAAGTTTGAAGAAAAACGATTGTGCCGTTTCGGCTGCCCAGAACAGACA